TTTTTTAAGCCTGTCTTGCATGCCCTGGGGCAAAGAGGAAAATTGTTCCATCCTCACAGAGGATCAGTCTGAAAGACTCAGGTGTAGATTGACTACAAGTGCAGCGGGGCTGCCGTAGCTTTGCGCTTAGAGGAAGCGTACTTTAGGTCACCGACCTTACGTTCTTCACAAGTACCAATACGAGTGTAGCGGATCGCAACCCGCTACCTCCAAGAGTAGTTAGAACCTTAACCCAAGGCTAATAAACTCTTCTGTTTAAAATGTAAACTGTATTGATTGTTTTATCTGTGGCAAAGCCGCCTAATTTTGAATGTATTGATTTTCTCAAATAATATTGTAAAATCTAAATACATGCATAACTACTGGCTACCAGCCACGTACCGTATCCTTATTTGGGTGCAATCACACCAGGCCGACCTCGTGTGACACACACCCCTGTTACCAGGGTACGCGTAACCCCGTTACAATAGGGAGCACTTCTCAATTTGCCGGCTACCCCACACGTCAAATCATAACAAGAACCCCACCATTACTTTAAAATTCTGCTGCCGCTGTTTCTTTAATATGGTTTTATTGGCTGACGATCACATTCCTTCTCCGATTGTCCATTCGTCAATGCCTGTCGTGTCTTCAATTGTCACACAAGGTGTCGACATTTGATCCGCATCCAGTTTCTCGCCCTGTCACAAGAGCGGCCTATCTCCAGAAATTTGCAGATCGTCAGTCCACCTATACGTGGTTCGTCAGCCATTAAATCTGACTTGCGCGAGCCCCCCTCACGCTCGCTCTCTTACCCCCATCCCATTCTTGCGCATCTACGTCGCCTCGCTTTTCTGGGCTTATTGTGCCATCTACATCCGTTCCTGCTGCATCGGGATCTTTAGACGGCGAAGCGATGGACGCGCCCTCCGACGCTTTCAGTCGTCGCTAGTGCTGCTGCTCCTCTGGACGACGAGCCGATGGAGCTACATCCCGTCGATACTGCGTCACCCGCACATATCGACACGTGTTCGACGATGGCTGAGCTGTTGCAAAGTCAATAGCTTTATCGGCGCGATAAAGCTGTGGCCGACGCCTTACGCAATCGCATCGAGACACCCAAGCTGCTCTTGCCTGACATCAAATCGATCGGCCGGGCGTGACTGGTCGTTTGTCTCCACACGCATAGATCAAGCGCGGTCTTATAAGTTGCCCCGCTCACGCTATGACATGATAATTGACACGAAATGCACCTTCGCAAGACTCCATTGCAGAAGATCATGGTGTCGCTGACTGGTTCACACCACGGCAACGACACGTTAGAGATAGTGTAAAGCAAACACGCGATTGGTCAAGTGCCGAAACAATCTTCTTGTCAAGGTGAAGACCAAGGAAGTTTGTCTACAGCTTGAAAAGGTGAATATCATGGGCGGCGTTTTCATGTCCAAGGAGTATGACATCCTCGCGGTCAATTACGTTTTGGACATCTCGAACGTCGACTCAGACATGAACACGGACACAATCCTGCATCGACTCTTCAGCATCAGGTGCAAGCCGATATATGACACGTTCCGTGAAGTTAACGTGACAACTGATTTGACCTCGGCGACGTGGCGAGTGTACTTCCTCTCAAACACGTGTGCTCCACCACTTGTAGTAAACGGCTCAGTCTGTGACCAATTCCTGGTTGACAACAAACTACACCCAATTCACGGAAAGAACGCGCCGTACCAGTCCGAGCGTTTGCCGTTGCTAACGCTCGCTGCATGGTATTCACCTGCTCACGAGCGATGATACCTTCCCGTGTCCGGGTCCTCTTGCCGAGCCGTCGCCGTCGCAGACGCCGAATCCACCGAGAATCAGTCAAAGACGCCCACACAAACGAAGACGACAAGCCGTTGACCTCGCTGCAAAGGGCAGCCGAAAAGACTAAGTAGCGCAATAGAAGGATTCACCACGAAGTTCCGCATGGAATACCTACTGGTGCCGACCAAATCGCCCAAATTTCGAGTGACCGAGACGACGTGCTCTCAATCCCGACATTTGATAACGCAAATGGTAAGTTCTCACCGCCCGACAGTCCATAAGATAAAGGCACCGCTATTGCTTTTGACAAATCACGATAGCTCGAACGGTTTCTCGGTAGTCCAGAACAAGAAGAAGCTCAGCCGAGCTAATGTTGATTTCACGGCCGTGTTTACAAAACAGCAGCCACAGCCGCTCAATGGCATAGCGAATACGAACTTCTTTCGGGCGCTTCAGTCGATGAATGTCGCATTTGTGGTTAAGCACGCCACTGCGGACAAGCGGCGCGACGCGGCGCGCGCAAGCAGATCGTATCGGTAAATTCGAAGTGACCCGACGCAATAAACACCTTATCTGAGTCGGCATTCTTCGTTGAAATACACCACACTAGAATCAAGAAGGCTGCGAAAGCAACGCCGATTCTTGAGGTAACCGAGTCGATGATTAACGACGAGAATACGGCACTGCTTGACACGCTGCCTAACAAGTTTGATGAGGCAGATAGAGCGGTGCTTAGCATGGTCAAACTGATTAAAATGCGACAAACCCGGATCATATTGTAAAGTCGGCTGCTGCTTGTCCGCTCGCGTTCAAAAGAGCTTTGTCGTTTGCGATGGCAGGCAACGGCAGATTGATCGGCGATCTCGCGTTGTTGCACTTGATCAACCGTATGATGAGCGCGACGTATCCCAACGAAGACACGACGTTCTTGGCAAAGTGGAAGCATATCATGGAAATGTCGAATTACCGTGACATCTTCGAGGCGTATGCCAGGTGATGGAACCATACGGACGAAGTCAGGAGCTGTCACGTGCGTCGAAGGTGCTCGGCATATTCGAGCTCGCG